GCCCTTGGTTGTTTCTGTCATCTGCCTTGGGGCATTGTTGATCGGGGTTCCGATGGGATATTTCCATCTCCTCGGCCTATGCGTATCGGTCTCCCCGCTGGTGAGCCTTTATGTAGTCGCGTGGAGGCTCGATAATGAGGCTCCTTGAGAAGTTCCCGGTATGGAGGACCGTCTGTAGGAGGGCCATGAGGGTCCTATCGTCGGCGCCGTCGACTTTGTCCGTCTGCAGCCTCCAGCGCTCAAGGAAGTCCCGAAGTGTCTCCTCCTTCTGTTGCCTTATTGTGAGTAGGTGGGAGAAGTGCTTCTTGGACCGGTGCCTTCCCGCAAATTGTGTCAAGAAACGCTGGGCGAGTTCTTGCCACGAATCAATGTTGCCCTCAAGCAACCGATTGAACCATTCATACGCCGGTCCCTCCAAGGTGGAAAGGAACCAACAACATAAATATTCATCCGATGCCCCCATCATCATCATGCTGTTTTGATACCTGCTGTAGTGCTTCTGGGGGTCAGTTTTTCCTTCATAGGGCTTGATGGGTTGCCCTCGGTACTTCCCTAGAATTTGGGCTGCCAATACCCTTGGGGTAAATGGCGTCCGAGTTCAGAGTTGGATGACAGGTTCCCCGGAGCCTTCGGTAAATTTTCTTTACATCTCCTCCATCTTTGCTAGCATGGCGGCGTATTTGGGGTCCGCCTATGAGGCGGAAGAGGTTGTGTTGGCCTGACGGGCCTCCATTTCATCAAGGCGGCGTTGGAGAGCCGCGATGATCTCGTCCCTGGGGTCCTTCGGGAGGGCCTCCGCCCCCTGCGAACGGACATGGCCCAAGTGGGCCTCGTTGATCTGGTGCCTGGCATCGTCATCATGGAGTAGTCCCTTGCCTTTGTGCTGCGGGAGACGTCTTTCGTCTGCCCTTGAAACGGATCCCCCGCTCTCTTGGGGTCTTTGGAACGCCTTTCCACCGAGGCGATCTTGGACCCCTTGACGGTCTTGCCCCCCTCCGAGCCATTCGAGGGTGGAGGTCCTGGGCCTTTCCTTGTCGGTGCCATGGCGGTGCTGAGATTGGACTTCCTGGGAAGCGGTGTCTTGAGCCACGACCCCTTCGTCGTTCCCAACCCAAGGGGTAGGGTTCACGAAGGGGGGTGGACGCAGGAGAGGTATAATGTTCTCCCGACCTGTGATTGAAGGGGCACCAGAGTGCCGAAGGCACCTGGATTTTGGGTGAGTGTTTGGATGAAGGCGGAGAATGCCGACTGTATGTCGATAGTGAGGACCGGAGGGCTCACTTGGTTTTCGCTCCGGTCATTCTTTTTGGCCTCGATGCTGAGGCAGGCATCAGTGGCATTCTGTTGGAGCTGAAGGCACAGGTCGACAACCGCATGTTCCAACCCAGCGAGGGCGCCGCCCTCGGGAGCCCTGTTAGAGGCTTCGGGGGCGTCGACGTCGCCGAGGGTCAGGTTCCTGTCCTCATGAGTACTGGATTGGGCACGAGTTGCTCTCACCATTTTGATAGGTTTTTTGTGTTTGATGAAGGGAAGGGTTTCTTACTTGATTGTTCGACCTCTCAACGAGAGCATCAAATGATGGATAGTGTACCCGGGGGTAGCTTATCCGAGTGGTTATTGCGAAGAATAACTTAGAGAGAAGTCATAGCAAAATAAGTAAGAGAGATAAAGAGTTCGAATATATAATGAGTGTTCAAGTCGTGTTTTTACAAAGGGGAAAGAGCAGCTATTTATAGTAGTAATAAATGTGATGAGAGTACATGTGTCAATAATCTAACGATCGAGGGGTCACCTTAACCGGGGTGGCACCGACACTTACATGTGGCCGCATTAAATGCGTCGGTTGGATGTGACGTTGTACTTGGTACGGCGATCCACGCGCATGTGGAGAGGAGATTTTTTCGAGGAAGGTGCCTTCGGCTGTAGATGGTAAGCCGAAGGCTCTTCATACCGGGGGCCTCTCAGTGCCGAGGGCTCCAAGTGCCGAAGGCTACTGATTTCGCTGTTTTCTCCCAGTAGCTTCGTATGCCCAAAACCAACTGTCCTGTGGGATTTCGAGCCTTCGATCATGGGGCCGAAGGCGTCCACATGTGCAACGTGAGCTCGATATTTGGGACGCTGTGATTTGAGCCGTTATGCTTCCTGGGCTTGTTGAACCTGTGTCAGAGTAGCAGGAGTCTATGGGACGGGAGTTCCTAGGCCATATGCTCCGTTACAACTGATTTTTTCAATCTTCCAAAAAAGAGATCCGTTTGGACAAATATGTAACTAAACTGGTGTCAAATATCTCCAATGCCCCCGATGAATTTGCGCTAAAGTATTACACCTGCGGATCTTATGCAGCCAAGGAATTGGAATTCACCATTCAACAATGGCAGCCACCGCCTCCATTTTCCCGCCGGCTCCGTCTCTGTCTGCATCGAAGTCATCGCATCCGTCTGCATCACCGTCATCGCCTCCGTCTGCATCACCGTTGCCGCCTCAGTCTGCATCTCCGTCGCCAGCTCCCTATAAATCGACGACGCCCCTTCGTCTTCATCTCCGATGCCACCCCCGTTCCAATCTTCTCTTCTACTCTTTCTGTCTGATCGCTATCTAGCTAGGGTTGTGGCTATGACAGAGATATGACGATGTGGCTTGGGCTTCTAGACATCGACTGATTTGGATTAAAGAGGCGGCTAGGGCGGCGATGCGGCGGTTCGTCTCGCTTCCCGTCACCGTTGCCGGTATGTGAGGGGCTGAGGAGGGGGATGGGGGGTTGGCAGCGATTGTACATGGGTTCGGGTCTTTGGGAGGGGGTTGGGGTTGGTGTGGGGGCTGGATCTGGACTGGGGTTGGGGAGGGGATTGGTGCGGGACAGCCCCAGTCACTGGGCGATGGAGGCTGGCTGCCAGAGATATGGTGGTGGACGGCGGTGGCTAGAGGATGTGGTTGGAGCCAGTGACCAGAGATAGTGGGCAGGGCCGGTGGTCAGAGATCGGCGGCAACAGCGGTCACTATCGGGTTTGATAGCGGTAAATAATCGGACCATGTAATTGTAACTAATCGGGTTCGGTAACCGGAACTAATCGGTCGGTTGGGTAACTGTAACTAATTCGATAGTGTAACTGTAACTGATGGGATTCGATTGGGCAACTTTAATTGACCGAATTTGTTAAATGTAACTAATCGGTCTGGTAACTATAACTAATCAGACCGAGTAGCTCTAACTGGTTAGATCGGGTAATCGTAACAAATCGAATTGGATAACTATAACTAATCAGTTTAGGTCACTGGGTTAGTTGGTCACTGGAGTGGATCATGTCACTGTCATTTTTAGTAACTAGGGGTAATTTAGTAAGATTAAGCCTTATTAGTCACATTTTTTGAAATTTTAGAAAAAAGTCTTTTTTGTCTAAGAGCTTCATTTTAGTATTATTGATGAACGAAGCCTTTATTTTTCAGGTTTGAGATTGAAAATTTCCAAAAATTACTTTGTACTTTTTTGGAAGCAGGTGACTTATATTAAAAAGAAAGAGCGTAAGCAGGATACAAACTGACAAAGAACCCATTGCCACATCGAACAAAGCAATCAGATTCACTGATCTTGAATTGGCTTACTTGAGGCAATGACTAGTAAACTAAGTTCTCCGTCACCTATCCTATGTTCTAGAGTCTTGATAAAACTAAACGTAACAACAAACAAAAACACACGATGTCCATGATAAGGCTATGTTTGGCAGATATAAGTTTTTGCCTTTTAGCTTTTGTACAATTCAAAAAGTCTCTAAAAACTTCTAGTTGTATGTTTGACATGACAATTTTTAAGAGTTTTTCAAAAATCAAAAGATCTTTTTTGAGATGCTACATGGAGTAGCATCTGAGAAAAGCCAGTGACTTTTAGTTTTAATTAGTCCTAACAGCTTGTATAGCAAACCAAACTAAATCAAACAGTCAGTTTTTACCAAACAACTGTCAACTTTTCTTTTTAAGATTTTTTCAGTCACTAAAAGGTAACATTTAATAAAAAGCTCATAAAAGTATCTTTTCAGCTAGTTGTGCCAAACATACCCTAAAACTCAGCAATTATTATAAAAATAAGTCTAAAATAGAATAAACTTTAATTCTCCAAGTGCAATAAGTGTACTACGTATTAATAATTCAGTTTTCTTTTGCTACAGCATTTTAAGTATTTCTACATTTAAAAGAAAAGTCAACAGACCTTTAATCATTGTTGACTTTCGAGGAGACGCACATCATTGAACAATCTCTTAATTATTGTCATTGCTTTAAGATAAATAAATCCTCCTAAATTTTGCAAAACTAATCAACATGTAACGAAGAATTGTTGAAGACAAGCATCGGGTCAAACTGGTTCTTGGGAAACTTGTTGTTATATTGTTATATACGTACATCATCGGTTATAACGGTAAACATTTCACATTTGCCAACACACGTTTTTTATCACAATTATATCTCAATTCTATTAGTAAAAAATATTAAAAATCAGATTTTGAAAATTTGTAATGAGATGAATTGAACAATATTTTTTCAAAAAAATAATTTTCATAAAATAATAGCGTAAAATTTACTTAAAGTAGAACATGTAAATAATGTAAAATTCAATATGTTCGATTAAAACAGAAGAGAGGATATTATATAAAAAAGTTTGGGTTCATTATAAATTTCACATAGTAAGGGCGCTAGCCGAAAATGGGGAATAAAATAAAATATTATGACCCCATAAATCCATAATACGGAGTAGAATTAAGAAATACTAGTATACTACTCTGTCCCATTAGATTTTGCCAACTTTCCCCTTTTGATTGTCTCAAAAAACTTTTCCACTTTCATATTTATGGTTCTGTACATTTCTCTCTCTGAACCACACAGTTTTTACTATTCTTATTTCTCACATATTTTGCATTTGTCAAAGTCCATTGGGAGGGATGTAATATCTGTTATTTAATTATTACTACGTATTATTGTTATAATAATAATTCCCTCTGAGGCCGGGGAGGGAAGCCATGAAGGACAAACGGGCAGTAGAAAAGAAAGACAAACCAAAGAAAAAACACCTTCATGCGAACAACCAGGAGCTTCAAGTCTTCCACCAACGTAAATGCCGTTTTCAATGTTCCTTTTCAAGCCCTTTTGCATTTATTTCTCCCTTGTTCTTTTTTCTTGAAACACATACATTCTTGTAATCTTGTTGATCTCACAGATATCTGGTTCTGCCTTTTATTTTACTGCAAATGCACATCGCATTTGTGAAAGATTCTGCGCTAGGTAAGTCGGTACTCTGTTTAATTCCCACGTTCTTGTTTTTGAACTGTTAGTTTTAATTTAATTAATAAAATCTGAAATATTGGTTAAAAAGATTGACACCCTAAGCCGTCGTTTAGACTTTTGAAAAAAATGGTACCCTAAGACGGGATTTTTTTAGCACATTAATGTTCTTTAAAAACGTGGTTTTGATCAAAATTGTGTCTTCTGCTGGTTTCAGCCTTTCAGGATTTTTCTGGGGGAATGATCAGAAAATCAAAGTTTATAATGGCTTCAGATAAGAATTGACCCAAATTATTCAAATAAATGGACACAACAAGAAGGAGTTGGTTGCAGAAGCTTCAACCACGCAGTTCGTCAAGAGCATCGAGTAAAGAGGGTGGTTCAATGGGTGGTGGAGTCGAAGATTCTAAGCAGTTATCTGCTGAAGAAGCCTCTAATATCACCAAAGAAAAGGTAGCTGCAGCCAAGAAATACATAGAGAATCATTACAAGGAGAAGATGAGAATTTTGCAGGAGAGAAAGGAGCGGTATGGATTTACACTGCATTGTGTTTCTATATAGTATCCTTCACATTAAAGAGGTGTAGTCTTGGCCTTAGGGGGAGTTTGGGCCTTACAGGGTTACTCTCTCTAAGAGAGAATAAGATTACGCGAAAATGAGATGACCTTAACCTCTTTGGTTCTCACTTTTTAGAATGTGATATTACATTGTCAAGGAGGAATTCGAATAGTATAAAAGATAACTGCCTAATGCGTAGTATTTTGTATCACTGTTTGAAGTAAACCTCTCTTTAGGATCTTTTAGGGTGAGTTGGGCCTAATTTAATATGTAGTATGATAGAGTCACTAATGGTTTGTTTGTTTGATTGGATATAGGGTAGCCTGGTTGGCTTCAATTTGATTAGTATATCAACCTCTATTTGTGTAGCCTGGTTTGGTGTGAGGGCGTGTCAAGTGTCTCACATCGGGTGTTTTACCGAATTGTGTAATATTTAAGTATGTCTTAAAGCTCATCACTCGGGAATCTTTTAAATTAGCTAGATAATTCAACATCGCATAAATAAAGAGGGAGTGATGAGTTTAGATCTGATTTGGTCTTTTAGTATGATTTGGCCAAACTTGTTATGGCCAAATACTGAATTCTATCATAATCTTACTCTATAAGTAATGCCATATGATCTGATCCAAACATCCCTAAAATTTCACCTCACATTATTTGAGTGGCAAGATCTTGAGAGTTTTTCTAAATTGATATGGCATGTTAGTTTGAGTCTAGATCATTAAGTGACTATAAGAATGTGGTTTCTTCCATTGTGTGAAAAAACTTGATCTTTCGACAAAGACAATGATGCTTGCGTATTGTCATTGTTCTCCTTGTCATGTTATGTGTGCAGTCGAAGTGTACTTGAAAAGAAACTTGCCGATGCTGATGTTTCAGAGGAAGATCAAAATAATCTCCTGAAGTATTTGGAGAAGAAAGAGACAGAATTTATGAGGCTTAGGAGGAACAAAATGGGAGCTGATGATTTTGAGCTACTAACAATGATTGGGAAGGGGGCATTTGGGGAGGTAATCCTGATTGATATTAAAAGAGATTACTCCAAATAGAAATAAAACATGGATCTAAGTGCACAAATTGGAGTGTACTTATTTTGTGTTAAAATTAGGACTCATTCAATCCTAAAAAGAATAGATGAAGTTATTTTTTTAAATAGACTAGTCATATTCTTGAAATTTAAGAAACAACAAAAATTGTTATATTGAAGAAACGTGTTATGTTTTGGACCTATATATAATATTTCTGTACATATAATATATGTTGCTAATCCAATATGTTTTCTTTTGCTCATAATTTACTTCACGTAGCTCAAAATTGTTTGTTGGAAACACATGTATTCAATTTCCTAATGCTAGTTTCTTCGAGTTAATCATAATGTCAAATGTTAAAGAGTCCACCTAGAAATGTTAAAGGAGACATATGAGTATAGAAAGCCTCCAGTTGGAAATACTAATCCATTGAACTTGATATTATATTATGAAATGATCCATCTGCGTTATAACTCAGTTGGGTGATCCCTATCCAATTACGTGCTATGAGTAATAATGTCCTGACGGTCTAACGGATTCCTGGCATCCAGCATGAAAGACGAATAGATACTTAGGGTTTGGATTCTTTGTTGTACAGGTAAGGATTTGTAAAGAAAAGACAACTGGTCATGTATATGCAATGAAGAAGCTTAAGAAATCCGAAATGCTTCGCAGAGGGCAGGTTTGTGCTCATCTTCAAAGACTTCAATTTGGGTAATGGAAACTAATTATTAGAATCTAGCCATGATGAATACCCACAAAGGCACTATGACATTGGTTCTCTACTGGTTTGGGACTGACAAAAGTGTGGGATAAACATGACCTTGAAAGTCCTTTTGATGTGAGTTAGACCCAATTTAAAATATTACCAGAGCCTAGTCGTGTTAGCATAGTAAAAGTCACTTTAATTCTAGTGTGATATGGTCCTTTTTGGGCCATGTCTGCAAAGTGCACAAATTTATTCTTGGGCACCTCCCAAAATGTCTTATATGAAATTAGGTGAAAACTTATATTTGAAGTGATTCTCCTTTATTTTTCCAATGGGACTTGGGTTGTATCAACAAGTCAGCTGTGATTAGTGTACCCACACATATCATTGTTTGGAACAACCCATTTTGAAGCCGTTTGGGCCCATCCCTCAAGTTGTCTAGTTTGACTTTGGCTGAGTAGAGGTTTGAGCATCCCACATAGTTATCTACTGGGAAAGAGTCTAGTCTAGTGTATATGTGGGGTACCTAAGATCCAGTTACAGTATAACAAACACCTAACATTTGTTACAACATAATTTGTCTTTAACTTGTGGATTTTATTAGGTTGAACATGTCAAGGCTGAGAGGAACCTGCTTGCAGAGGTTGACAGTAATTGTATTGTCAAACTGTATTGTTCCTTTCAAGATGAAGAGTACCTATACCTCATCATGGAGTATCTGCCTGGAGGAGATATGATGACATTGCTTATGAGAAAGGATATTTTAACTGATGATGAGTCAAGATTTTATGTTGCAGAGACTGTTTTGGCTATTGAATCTATCCATAAACATAACTATATACACAGGTCCATCCCTTTCTTTTGGGGTATGCATTTAATACTTGGGTCAATATACACCTTTCTCACACTGCATGCTATTTTGCACAGAGATATTAAACCTGATAACCTGTTACTGGATAGATATGGTCATCTAAGACTGTCAGATTTTGGGCTATGTAAGCCTTTAGACTGTAGTACCCTACAAGAGAAGGATTTCTCCGTGGGAGATAATATCGGGGAGGCTTCAAGGTCTGATGCTCAACCTCCAAAACGCACCCAACAAGAGCAATTACAACATTGGCAAAAGAATAGGAGGACACTTGTAAGTTTTTGCTTGCCACATATTTTTACACTTTAGGGTTTGTTTGGAGCAGGGAGAGTGTTAGGGATTAACAAAGCAGGGAGGGAAAGTATTGGGAAAATATGGAAGGATCAATTTCACACGTTTATATTTTGTTCAAACTCATAATATATATATTTATATTATATTAAATAGAGATTGTGAAATGATTTCACTGAAATCAGAGTCTATGTAAAATTTTAAAGAATTAATGACAAATATATGGCTAAAATAAAATTATGATAAAAATTTGACTTTTCCTGCATATTAATTGATGATATTTTTCAGTTGACGGTAATGAACATGGTGATGTTCTATTTTACCATGCAGTGACCATGATGTTTTTTCATAGTGACTAGAATGACCATGTAGTTATTTTTCTCAATGAGTTTTGCTTTAGTGATATTATAGTAAAAAACCCTATTCTGAAATGCTTTAACCACATTAAATTACCAGGTTTTTTAGCTATTCCCCCCTATCATCTTGTACCAATCATAGCCTAAATATTTTGTTGAATTGAATGGTCCAAGGTCAAAACATTTTTTTGTGATCTTTCACTTTCACCATTCTTGCTATGTCCTCTTCAGGCTTATTCCACTGTGGGTACTCCCGACTATATTGCACCAGAGGTTTTGCTGAAGAAAGGCTATGGAATGGAATGCGATTGGTTAGTATGTTGCATGTTAATCAGACTTTGGATGCATAATTTTTACTTTCTCCATACCATGAATATATGATAACCCCACATTAAGGTCATTCATTAATGGGGTTATCTTGTTCTATTTGTTCTTGATGATGTCTATGGAGTTTTGTGGTTGTCTCGTTGACAATGTCTCATAATGAGAAAAATTTGTGTGCTTCACAATACTTAGTTTTATGTGGAGTTATGTGTGTTCAGAAGCACTGAACACTCCGTGATCTGACCATAGTTTTAAAAGGCGCAGGGCGGCATGAGGTGTTTTTTTTTTTTTGAATTTAGCCGGGGTGCGAGGTGGAGCCGCGGAGGTGCACACCTCACAGAACATCGGGGTGCAGCTTTGCTAAATTATATTATACTGCTTCTACGTCATACCCTCTTCCTAAAATAATGATAAAATAAAAATGCTAGGAGTCATTAACAAGCATATTAATTACTAACAGATCTGGCACTTTCAAACCTGATCTGGCACTTTCATATAATTTGACTTGCAAACCTGATCAACCTGATCAAGGGGATTCGACTTTTTCTGTTCACTAATTAGCTGCCACTTTACACATAAAAAGGACTAACTAGACATACAAGATTACTAGTACATGCATAAAAATAGGGTCACTATTTGCCTACTAGGTTACTACTAATAAGGGCAGAGTCTTTTCTAGATTATATCAGTTGGATAGGCTGGACTGGGGTTCTGGGAAAATCCAAGAGTTCTTCTTTGCAAGAGACATCCTTGGGTTTAGTGATGTCCCTGGCAGCCTTGCTGAGGTCTCCAGACCGAGTAAGTGGTTTACAAGACGCTCTTAGGGGGTCTTTTCTTCTCTGATTCCAGCTTTTTTACTTTTATTAAAATTTCAGTAAACTTTTTTACTTCTAGCATGCAGTACATCAACATAAAACATCACTTAATAGGCATGTCAACATACAGTCACACAAACTATCACAAACTAAAACATACTCAGACAAGTAACATATATATATATATATATATATATATATATATATATATAATCTGTAAAAGGTGTTAGAAGGTCTAAAGAATGGAAATTTTGAAACTGTTAAAGGGTCTGTGTCTCTATGATCGGAGCAGAAAAGCAGGGGAGCAGATAGGCACATAGAGCAGATTAGCATAGAGTACACAGTCAACCAGAAAGTAGCATAGGGAAAATAGAAAGAGGTTAAGAGAAGAAAAGCAGGTCAGGGAAGCACAGGGAAGAAGAAGATGAGAATAATTTTTTTACTTGAAACTGGCACTGCTATGATTTTGCATAGAGAAGAGATGCGGAATGAGTTTTGATTTGTGAAAGGAGAGTTGGAGTCATTATAGGAAGTACACGACTAATAAGACACCCCGCATAAGAATGTTCTGGACTCCCACGAGACATAAATTGTCAAAACTTATAACACTGAAGAGGCTGAGGTGACTGCCTCCTGTGCTTGTTGGGTCTGTTGTGTCCAGGTTATCTGTTGCCGTTTTTTATTGCCTATCTGCACTTTGTGCCTAGTCGTGCCCCAGGGGCGTTTTATTTAACTAAGGCTCTGACCACAATCTGCCATATGAAGTATTGTGTGGGACACTTGAACAACTTGAGATCCACTTATTTAAAGAGCATATATAGTTGAAATGAGCAATTTGATCCTAATAAACTTAAAAATTTAACACACAAACTTCAGGATTGGTCTGTATCAACATGTGTATTGTAACTTAAGATTTATCCTTCATCCACAGGTGGTCTCTCGGTGCTATAATGTACGAAATGCTTGTGGGATATCCACCTTTTTATTCCGATGATCCCATGTCAACGTGTAGGAAGGTAATATGTTAGTCAATATCACTGTCTTTTATAGAAAAAGTGACAAATACATCATTCAAATAAAAGTAGTGGACAAAAATATGACTTTCAATATACAGTGATTATAGTAGTGTTTTCTGAGTGACTGGTGAAATGTTCAATTGTACATGGCAGTGACCATGTAATTATATTTTTGTCCATGCGTTTTATATTTGTAATATTATAGGAAAATTGCTTCTAAGTATATATATGATGCTGTAAAATTTGCTTATTGAAGTTTATGTCCATGATTTGTATTCTCTTTATATATATAAATACACACACATATAAAGCCATCCTTTTTATGGTACTCAAACAAGTAGATAGTTAACTGGAGAGCACATCTGAAGTTTCCTGAAGAAGCAAAACTATCTCCTGAAGCCAAAGATCTGATCAGCAAACTGCTCTGTGATGTAACCAAGAGGCTTGGATCAAATGGCGCTGATGAAATAAAGGTTTGTTTTATTGTTTTTTAATATATGATGAATGTCTTCTTGTGCATTGATTTTTTAGTTTTCACAAGGCTACTGTTTTTTTATATATATACTTTAAAATTAAAAAATAGGCACATCCTTGGTTTCACGGAGTTGACTGGAACAGAATATATCATATGGAAGCTGCTTTCATACCTGAAGTCAATGATGAGCTGGACACACAAAATTTTGAAAAGTTTGAAGAGGTGTTGTTTTTCCCTTTATCAGCTCAATGTGAACACACACATTTGATTAGCTATTGTGACAATTACTACTGTTTTTTTCTAATTATAAATTCTGAAAATATCACTTTATCTGATTCAGTCTGAAAGTCAAGATCATACTTCATCAAGGTCTGGGCAATGGAGAAAGGTACTCACAGTATTTGCATCACATTGGGATTATGTGGCCGTTTGGTGGCCAGTTTGTTGGGCTTATATAATTGACTAATTGTGCATGCTGAACTCATTAGTAATGATAAGTAGGGTTGAAGGTACATTTTTTTACTGAAGTTGATGAAATCGGTTGTTTATACATATATATTATATTGTTAGAAAGGTATAATTTTCTCCCCTTAATTCAACAATTTGAGCAACATTATCAAACACAATTTTAGCAACTTCAACAATTGTGGCCAAAATTGCTTTTACCAAACGAGCTCTATAAATTTCAAAAGGTTCCATTGGACTTTTAGACTTCCGGGATTATTAATGAATCAATCTCGTTGTACATATTGGGCCCATTTAGTAAGACCTATTTTGCTAAATATGCCAAATTTCCCAGAAAAAAGGTGCATATAGTAACTAGGGCTGTTAACGAGCCGAGATGAGCCCGAACACCCAAAGCTCGAGTTCGGCTCGATAAGGAATTAGTGGTGTTCGGGTTCGAGCTCGAAACTCGATGAGCTTTACAAATGAGGCTCGTGTTCGGCTCGATAGGCGTTCGATGTTCGAAACGAGCGCTCGATAAGCTCGATAAATATGCTCGAATTTAAAATTTTAGGTGATGCTCGTTAGTAGGCTCGTGCTCGAATGATTCGACAAGTATTCGGTTCGTTAATAATCATATTTAAATTCATAAAATCATACTAATTATATTTAAATTTTGACATATATATAAATTATATTTATAATTTCAGGTGTTCGATAGGCTCGAGTTCGAACCGAGCCGAATACTACTATGTTCGAGTTCGGCTCGATTAAGTTTTCGAACTTAAAACTCAGCTCGGGTTCGAGTTCGAAAGCTTGTAAAGCTCGGCTCGTTAGGTTCGAAACCGAGCTCGAACTCGAATAGTTCGATAAACAGCCCTAATAGTAACATCCATTTAAGCCAAATATGTAAAGGCAAAAGGTGATTTTTCTGCTGTTAAAAACTACAATATGCCAGAACTGGTTACCATATGGGGCCTTGGTTTTGATTTTCCTCATCCCCACCACACTGTGCAGATGCTGTCAACTAAAGATGTTAACTTTGTGGGGTATACATACAAGAATTTTGAGATAGTGAATGATTATCAAGTGCCTGGAATGGCAGAACTGAAGAAAACTTCTAAACCAAAGAGGCCAACTATCAAGTCACTCTTTGGTACATATGCTTATTTTATCTCTATCCTTCCAAATCTCCCATGTGCTAACATGCATTCAATATTTGGCTCTTCCATTTGTACCCTTATCCTTTCTGACATAATAAATTAAGATGATGTTACTGATACAAATGCTGATTGATTTAGTCATATAGATTAATAGTCTCTTGGTTTCTTTATTTGGCATTATTGCTTTTTGGTCAACAGATGGAGAGTCAGAAACATCCTCAGAAACTCATAGCCATCAATCTTATGGTAGTTGTAAGAATTTGTCATCTTCTCCCCGTTCTGAAGCTTCTGATAAGAATGACGAGCCAGCTTAATCTAACAGCAACTCTCCCCAGTATGTACATGTGGACCCCTAAGCTCATGATGTGGACTCATCAAACAGATTATGTTATGTGATCATATATATACTTCCTCATCGTCTCCCATTGCATATTCGCAATAACGAACCTACTTAACATTCTGTGGATGGATACACTGCTGCATATTTTGTGTTAACATAGACTAGTTATATGAGTTATAATTACCCCTCATTTTACTTTATTTATTTATTTATAAATTTTCAGAAATGCCCTCATTGACTTATACATGGTTGGACACTTGCAAGGCTGTACACATGTACCATATTTTTTTTACGTCATATTGTAGAATATATGACGTAAAATTACAAATAATGACAAAAGTGTGACATTTAATAGCAATGATCAATTGTTCTTTTTGGTCCAAAGCAAGACGCTCTCGGACTGTCGGACACGGGGAGGTAGCTGAAGTTTAAGTGCAGGAACATGAGAGTAGCTAATGCTAGAGAGGCTCTAGTAATATTATTCAGTTCAAACTTCATAACTGCGTGTGTTGTGAAGTCAGTTTACCATGATGCATTTAGCAATAACTCAAGTGATTATGCAAGTCTAAAACACAAATATATAAGAGTTCTCAATTTATAGTGATTAAAAATTTAAAACTTTATTAAATTTCATATTGAAAGCGGCAATAATAACTCTCTATCTTATATTCCTATTTGAAGATTTTCGATTCATTTCCAACTCTTCCATAATACGAAGTATATTGTGTCTGTATTTAATTAGTTGCAACGGTTTGACAGTGCTCATTAATATCTTTAAGGCAACTATAAATGAAAATTAAAAATATCATTATTTGGAAATTTGGAGATATATCTAGATACATTTTTCATTATATAATTTGTAAAAACAATTGATATATTATTTGTTGTTGCAACTAATAAAGATCTGAGACATCATATATTTCTCTCTATTAATAGTTAAAATCAACATATTTATAAGTCACACTAAACGTTTTATTGAATAATAAGATTTTAAATAATAAGATTTATAAGTTATTACACAAAATGAGAGGTTAAAAGAGAATTACGTTCTCTACTAATTTGTTGTAAGAGAACTTTAAAGTGAGAGTTTAAGGGAGCTAACATTTCATCAAATAACAACATGCATTTTTTATTTCATTTTTGTTCATGAAGGAATTACAAGTTGAATTTTAATGTGTATACTATGTTTATTACTCCCTCCGGTTCTTATTAAAGTTCTCACTTTCCTTTTTGGGATGTCCCTTATTTAAATTCACACTTCCATTTTAGGAAACAAAACAGTGTCAAACAGTGTCCAAACAGTGCACTCCACAGTAAAGTCAAATTCATTTTCTTAATATGTGTGAAGTCAAATTGGAAACTTAAATAAGAACCGGAGGAAGTAATTGATAGATACAGAATAAGGAACTGCGTTTAAAACGAAAATTATACTCAACATTCAACAATTTGACATTTCAGTAATAACCCACACCAAAACAGAATACATTACAAGGAGATAATGTAAAAATGCAAACAATAAACATAGAAAGTTTTACTCAGTTTGGGGTACAAATTGCAAATTGGATAGGAATTGCTCATAAAAAAATCCAATTTAAGATTCAAAACACTACTCTACTGATCTAGTGTCAAATATTACACTTTCTGTATTGTGTTTACATCTTCCCATTTGAAGACTTTCACTGCGAAATTTAATAAGATAGAGTTAATTAGTTGTAATTTATTTGGCCGTGCATGAACAACTTAAAGTGAAGTAAAGGCATGTTCGGATAACTGTTTATGCTTCTTCGTACAAGCATGTTCGGATAACATTTTTTTCCGACTTATCAGTCTTATCAGTCAATTTTTTCACCAAACGTGTAACTTTTACTTTCGCGCGCTGAGTTGTGTAATAAGCAGAAAAAGTAAGGTTAGAGTTACTTTTCTGGCTGTATTGGCTGAAGTTACTGTAGATGACCATTTTAGCTATTTTTCCATATAATTTTTTCTTTATTTTATTAATAAAATATATTTTAAAAATAATTTTTACTTAAATCAGCAGAAACAGTCAAAGCAGCTACTTCAGTCAGAACTTCATAAATTTCAGCAGAATCAGCCAAAACAGTCAATTTTCGTGCTACCAAACGGACTCTAAAATTTTATGCAATAATTTTTTTTTCATATTCAGATCTAATTTTTGTGTTTCAATAAAATTATATGTATAATTTCGAAAATATGTAGAGTTAAGTTATCAATTTCAATATGTTATTATGAAAATTTATAATAAAAAAGTGATTAAATTATTACATATATACACGGTCACGTTCAATAGAATTGTCCATAATAATGATTACTAAAGTGATTATTATAGTCATTAAATATTAAAATCACGTTTTTATCAACTACCTTTACATTAATTATTCTTTATTGTAAATTAATTAATTATTGTAAATTGTATATTGATTTTTTGAGAAAATGGTCAAAATGGTGCATGAAGTTGTTTCGACGGGAGTAAGTAGTACATCATCTTGCATTTGAAATTTTAAAGTACATGAACTTGTATTTTATAGTCGATCAAGTACATCTACTTTGTCAGAACGTTAAAATAGCTGGCAAGGCCAAAGTATCCTTTTGTATTATACAGCTGCAGTCCAAGTTCTCAAATAATTAATCTATAAACTTTATTTTTCTCACTCGTTTTCACATTCGCTCATCATCTTATATTTTTCTCGTCTTATCTCCCTTCTTTCCGCTCTACATCTTATATTTTTCCCGTATGCTCTCCCGGATATCCTGCCGGCTTCTTGTTGCTCTATTTTATTTTCTTCCTCTTCTCGTGCTATAGCAAATAAATGAAGAAACCCACATGATAGTAGGGAGAACAACCGAGAGAGGAGAGCAGTAGGGGAGGAGCTACAGGGGGGAAGGGGTCAACCTATGTCCTGGTCCACCCCAAATTAAAAAAATTGCTTTAATTTTAAAGTAAAAATTCTGTGTAATTCTCCCCCAAAAATATTCTTTGTACTGGTCCAGTCCGGTCCAGTGCCTTGGATCCGTCCTCTCCAAGGTGAAGAGCGGAGATAATGGAGAGCAAACATGAGAAATATAAGATGAAAAGCGAAGGTGAAACAAGTGGACTAGAGGAAATTAGAGTTTATATATTTAATGACTAAGACTGCAACAGTATATTACAAACTGATAGTTTGGTCAAGTCAGATATTTTAACGTTATAACAGAGCAAATGTACTTAATCATCTTTAAAAGTGCAAGTTCTTGTACTTTGTAATTTTAAGTGTAAGATGGAGTAGGGCTGGATCGGTAAGGTATACCGAAAATTTCAACCCATACCGTATATCGTACTGAAAATGCGGTATGACAAATTCTTATACCGATACCGTACCGGGACTTTCGGTATACCGTGTTTCGGTATACCGAAATATCGGTTTGGCAAAAAACTCATACCTTACCATACCAAAGATTCGGTATACCGAAAAATTTCGGTATTACCGTACCGTACCGAATGAGAATTTTTTACAAATTACAAATAATGATTAAAGGAGTCATTTACAAAAAGAAAATGTCACAGGGGAAGGAATCAGCTGCCTAACTTGAAAGCATCTACATGAAGGGAAGACGGAGGTTTTCTGTACATTAGCATTGTGATCCCCTCAATCACAACAACAACAATTGCTGCTACCGATATATCCCAAACCCCTGTTTGTCCTAGAAACCCAAGAGAAGCAGAAATATTTTCATTGAATGAGATACTTCATAATGAATTTTAACACAACAGTAAGGTCACATCCATCTAAAAAGATCATAATAATAAGTATCGGTATTAGGCTTATTCATTGGATGTTACGTACAGGGGCGGATCTACCTTATTGATAGTGGGGGCACATGCCCCCAATAAGCTTTGAATAATGTATTAATAATATAGTATTTTCTGCAATTTTAATTTTAAAAGGAAGAGTTTGCCCCCATTAAATATTTCTCATGCCCCCAATAGATATTTGTGTGATGTTACATATATATATATGACTAAAACAAATTCTATTTATAAAACTTGACATCATAAGTGTGGTGATTATAGTAATATTTTAGTCATATTAACTTATGTTCAACTTCTACACTTAAGTGACTATGAGATTATACTATGATAACTATTGTTCAAATTTTGTAAATAAATATTATTTCAGTAATATTTTTGAAACCCCTCTTAGTTCTAAAAATCAAGAGTCTTATTTTTATTTTTAAGTGACTATGAGATTATACTATGAGTCTTATTTTTATTTTTTTTTACACGAAAAGTAAGCTAAAAATTACATAAATTATGGTGGATCCGAATTTGGGACGACTTACTCATATGTCCGTATTTAATACTCCGTATATAGTATTTAATACTCCTTATATATTTATTTTAATTGATATTATTATGCCCCCAATAAGTATTTTTTCTGGATCCGCCACTGGTTACGTACACACATAGTACTGGTAGTAGAAGGTTAGTGGGCTTGGGTTTGGAAAAGTGGGCCTTAATTTTTGTATTTTGGTATTTATTATCAACTTGAATTTTATTTTGGGCTTGAATATTTGAGTGGACTTCTACAATATTTAAAAAAAATATAAAATAAATGTTGAATATGGAATCGGTACGGTATTATACCGGTATACCGCGGTATTTAGAAACATATACCGTATTTCGGTACGGTATGATACCTTACCGAAAATGACGGTATACCAACATTCCGGTATTTTCCGGTATTTTTCGGTACGATAAGTGCGGTATACCGGTTTTCCGGTATTTCTGCCCACCCCTAAGATGGAGTACTACTTACTTCACTTTAAATAATTTCATGTACCATTTTAACCATTTTCGCGTTTTTTTTTTTTTACAAAACTTGTAAATTGAAGTTAGCAAGGGGAGGGAGCAGTAAAAATGGAAATGGAGTGAACAACTTGAGAAAGTAGAAAAAACAGGGATGGAAAAGCAACACAATAATAATAGCATCATCAGCCAGCAGCTTCGGATCTCCTCTGGCTGGCCCTCAATAGTCACCACCATCATTGTCGCCCAAACACAATTCCCTCTCTCTTTTTCTTTTTCCCTTTTTTATTGTTTTCTGAAAAACGACTTTCCTCCTTTTCTCCTCCGCTTAGCTTAATCTTCGCTCGGTTGTCTGTTTCTTATGACCCCTACGAGGTTTCTTTTTCCTTTATCGCAGTTTTCCGATTCATCTCTGACAAAACCGTAGATGCATAGTATGTATGTGTTGGTATCCATGAATTCATCGCTCCGACCATTGACTGATTTTTAGTTGATCAATGAAGATCGTTGATGCGGCTAATTAGGGTTTCCTTCAGAACAAATGTTGGT